TTACATATTATATTCTAATAGCCCCCCTCAAAGTCAAGGAGGATAGGAACCAACCAACTTGAGTTTGGAGAGAGTAACAAAATAGAAAAATAAAATAAAATAAAATACGATAGGAGACACTATATGGTCGTATTAGACCGGCGTGGAAGACATTGTATGGTTGTAGTAGACCGGTGTAGAAGACACTGTATGGCTCATGTCGGACCGGTATAAAAGACACTGTATGGTCGTGTTGAATCGTTGTAGCAGCTAACCGGAATCAATGTCGGGACAGTTTACGAGGTCATGTCGGACTGTTGTAGCAGACACTGTATGGTCGTGTCAGACCGTTGTAGAAGCTAACCGGAATCAATGTCGGGATAGTTTACAGGGTCATGCCGGACCGATGTAGAGGCTAACCGGAATCAATGTCAGGATAGTTTACGGGGTCATGCCGAACCGTTGTAGAAACTAATCGGAATCAATGTCGGAACAGTTTACGGGGTCATGCCGGACCGATGTAGAAGCTAACCGGAATCAATGTCGGGACAGTTTATGGGGTCATGCCGGACCGATGTAGAATACACTGTATGATTATGTATATAGGCTGCCCAAATATATATATATCGAGCCCTCAAAAGTCGCGCCCAATTCATCAAAAGTCGTGCTCGACAGAAATCGTCGAGCGGCGAGCCATCAAAAGTTGCGCCGGACACGCGGTAATGCACGTGATCGACAGAGCATCGCGTCATCCTCTTCGTCATTGTCTATATAAACCGATGCGGAGGCTGTGCAAACCAAACTAGTCTGAAACCTCTGAACATTTTCATTCTGAAATACTCTGCAACCAACCCTTTCTGACATTACCAGTCTGAAATCGCTGCTTCTCTGAAACACTCAGCAACCCAAAACATGGCCTCTTCTTCCCGTTCAGCAACCCAGAACATGGCCTCTTCTTCCCGTAGTCTGCTCACTCTCTTTCCAGACCTCAACGAGTCCACAAGAGAGATAATCGGTGCGGTTTCCCTTGAACCTCAACCAAGAGCCCCTGGTTTTGCTCCGTTGAACTTTCCCATGCGATCTGTGGAGCAAATAATGGCAGCGCAATTGGATATTAAGGCCAATCAGTAGACATTGAAGTCATGTGTAGAGACCATGAATGCGGTCACAAACTTGTTGCACCGGCTTCAGAGTAGGACAAATGAGGAGCAGCAGTTAAACGCCCAACTGGCTCTGCTCCAGCGCATGTATAAGGATGCGTGAGCAGAGATATATGTGCTAAAGGCGGAAACAAGGAGCTGAAGCGGAAGGCCACCGTTATGTTTTGATTCGAAGGTCCGCCATATGCTGCGGTGGAGGAGCAGGGGGGAGCGAACGGGCTCAGTGGCATGGGAAACACGGAGGCAGCACCGTCAAGGGTCGCCCAGGACGGAGGCAAGAAGAAGAGACCGGCGACAGAGTAGAGAAGGGAAAAGAAAAAAATTCCTCTTGTGTGAGGGAGGTAGTTTGTTTGAGTTGGTGTTGTTGTGTTGTTGTGTTTGGAATAATTTTTTTTTTGTGAATTGAGAACTGTGATCGGAGTAGATCCCTGAGATAAATAAAATAAGGTAAGGTTTGGTGTGCAAATCTATATGGTATGAATGAGATTTGAAAAAAAAAGGTTAAATATAATTTGAAAGAAAAAGAAAGAAAGAAATAATAAGAATATAAGTGAAATTAAAAACGAAAGAGTGGTTCTACACGGATTTGTTAAAACCATCAATCGTGTTTGGAATTTTGTTTTTTGTTTTTTTTTTGGTTTGTTTGTTTGTTTTTTTTAATAATAATAATAATATATTAATGTAGAAAGCATATGCGCTGGTGAGAGTTGCATATAAAAGATATAAAGATGGGTGTGATAAAGAAAAGAATGGTGGTGGATAGAAATTAATGTGGGTAGTGGAGACATAATGATGATGATAAAATATGATGATGGGGTTAAAATAAAATAAAATAAAATGATGATGGGGTTTCAGGGAAAAAGAGTGCAGGTTAGGGCTATTGCCCCTGCAAAAGATATATTATTGTAGAGTGGGTCACATGTCACATGGGGGGTGAGTAGTGGAGGAATAATGTGGTTAAAGAAAAGGAAAAGAAAGAGACAAGTGATATGGTTTTAGAGAGATTGATGGTGGTGGCCCTGCACTACTCTGCTTGTGGATTTGGTTGGAAGCCTTGCCTCTACTTTGCTAGGGGCTACTGTAAGAACGAAAACAGGATAGTAGGTTCCTCCACGGCGCTGATTCAGCAGCCATGGTAGGTTCGGATGGTGTTGCCATGGTAGGCTCGCCTAGCAAGCTCGAGACAATGATGGATCAGTGCCAAGAGATTCTCAGATCTGAACACCACTCGCCCATCTGACCCCAAGAGAGAGAGAGACCCGAGATGGGTTTGAACCTTTGTCGAGGATTCGGAGATTGGAGAGAGAAGTGATGCACTTCGGACTCTCGCCGGTGATGCCTTTTCAGTCGGCGACGATGAGGGTGGTGAGGCGGTCGAGAGCGCAGATGTTAGGGGAGATTGAATCGGTCATGAACCAGGTTCGGCTGGTTTTTTTCGAAGATGGGGTCTTCGGACTCGCTGCGGAGGTCTAACATGCATGGGCCTGGTGGAACAGAACTTTCATTTCACTAGCGGTCTAAAAGTCTCTTGAACCATTGTTGTATGCATATCACATGCACGCCACCTTGCAAATTTGAGTTTTGTTGGCTCTGCCTTGGTCCATGGTTAGATCATGGTGAGAGAACAGGTGACTTCTATACGTGCAATCGTTATGAGACAGCAAAGCAAAATGGAGTGTATGATGAAACTGCAGCAGATGCAAACTGTGCATCTCGAGAAGCTGAGTAACAAACAATGCCAGCCTAATCGCAGCTTAAGTTCATAACAGAGGCCTGGCTATAGATAGTTGAATGAGCCATTGTAAGGCAGAGAACAGTTCAGCTATGGAATTTGTGGCAGCGGAGTGAAGGTATGTGTAGAAAAACAAGCAGAATAGGTTGAGGTCCGGCGGGCGGCCAAGGCGAGGTTGCCGCTCGCCGGTGAAACGAAAATACTAGGTTCTAAACCCGCTCTGATACCATATTAAATTCAATATATAAAGAGAGAAATACAAACAATTATGTATGTATTGATGTATTGAATGTTATGGGTTAGCTCCTTTATATAGAGGAGTTACAAGCTTACAAGCCAAAAGAGAAAACAGAATTATTAAAGCATACTAATTATTATACTAACCTAATTATTAAAGCAGCACTTTACATATTATATTCTAACATGTTATGTGCATATGTTATGTATAAGATGTTGAGTTATAAGTTATGTACTGAATGTGGGTAAATTACCGTTTTTGCATGTAAATATTTGTTCATACAGATGCACAGCTCATTGGATTATTGGTGTTTTTGTATATTGCTTCCGCTAGCCCCGATTATTTTTAATTATATAGGAGGGCCTTTAGTAATCTCGGGTTACTGGCCAGTTATGACGCCAAACTTATAGGGGCGGGTTTAGATCATGACAATCAGATTTGAGCCATGGGGTTTTCTAAAAAAAATGGGATAGTTTGTGTTTACCTAAGGAGGAAGGGCTTGGCTTGCGCGATTTGGGTTGTTTTAATCAGGCGCTCTTAGCAAAGCAAGCTTGGTGGTTAATTTTCAATCCGAACTCTTTGTTTGCTACAGTGTTTTTAGGGAAATATAGCTCCCGAAATTTTTTTCTTGAAGTTACGTGTTCTAAAGATGCGTCTTGGGGATGGAAAAGTATAATGTGGGGTAGGGATTTGTTGAAGGGGGGGTTAGTTTGGAGGGTTGGGAATGGATAGTCCATAAACCCATTTGAGGATTCTTGGATTCCGGGGCAAATCAATCCAGTGCAAGGTATAGGGCTTTCCAAATATTTTCCAACAATGAAAGTGGCACATTTGATAGACTTTCCAAACAATTGTTGGAGAGGTGATATGCTTGATTGGTTATTTCCAGCAACAATGGTCCCCTTGATATTAAGAATACGCATTCCTTTAGTTTCTTGCCCAGATAAATTGGTATGGACCAACAATAAAAATGGGGTTTTTTCGGTTAAATTGGGTTATTGGTCTGCTATTAAGCGTAGACAGGAGCGTAATCATTGCGGAAATGAAATTGATCTGTTAGTTTGGAAAAAATTGTGGAAGATAAACTTGCCTTCTAAATTGAGTTTATTTCTTTGGAAATGTCTTCATAACATTCTTCTGGTACAATGGCAGCTTAGAAGGAGAGGCATACCACTTGATACATTATGTTCTAGATGCGGTCAAACTGAGGAAACAAGAGAGCATGTTTTCTTTGAGTGTCCGTGGTCTCAACGTGTATGGAGGGACACAATTTTGGTATTAGATTTCTCGATAGGTCACACCGTTGGGTTTACTACCTGATGGACGGAATGAGTTAAAATAGTTCATGAGGATGAGATCATTCTCCATTCCATAGCCATTCTTTGGACAATTTGGAGACAGCATAATATTAAGGTTTTTGAAAATGAACAATTGTCAATCAAACAGACCTTATGTCTGGTTGATGAATTTAAATTGCAATGGTCCACCAGCAACATAGATGTAACCAATGCTAGCTCGGACTATACGCATTTACAGCTGAATATTTCATCATCTAATAACTGTTGTGTTATTGTAAATAATTGTGTGGCTTTTGATGATTTTCAGCTTTTTACTTGTGTGGTGGATGGAGCATGGCAGCAGAGTAATGCAGCAGCGGGCCTAGCATGGGTTTGTTTTGATGAAGATCAAATGCAGGTATACCAATGAGGGATATCCACTTGGCTGTCCTCACCATTATTGGCAGAAGCAAGAGCTCTTTTGGAGGCTATTAATTGGGCTGTCACGATGAAGATTAAATGTCTATCTATTTTTACTAGTTGTAAAGTTTTAGTTGATAACTGTGAACAAAAACGTAGTTTAGATTGTGAGATAGATTTAGTAGTGCAAGATATTTTAGTTTTAAGTTTTGCCTTTCTATATCTATGTGTAACTAAAGTGGACAGGGTGTTGGTCGAACCAGCACACAAACTTACAAAATCTGTAACTGTTTATATATGCTATTTCGTTTTGTGCTCAAAAAAGCAAATAAACCATGAGAAGCGCGAATTGAACCCAGGTTTCTCAGTTCCCCTTTAAAATGTCATAAAATGACATAGGTTTCTTCTTAGTCTCAGCACAGAGTTCCTGAAAATGCCAAAGGCCATTTTAAATTAGTAATATACTTGCAATATTACAGATAGGGGCCTATTTTGGGGGTGAAATAGTAATATATACCTCTACTGCAGCAGCCAAGCGCAAAATTGTAGCTTCACCCCATGGCCGGCCTATTAGTTGCAAACCTATTGGCAGGCCTTGCTTATCGTAGCCAACCTGAACATTGGAATGTGTTGTAGAAGAATGAGAAACCGACTAGAGCACTTGTTCAAAATAACATTCTACTAATCTAGAGCAAGTGACAAGAGGAACGTGACATTTGCATTGTTGAAATACGTAATACTGAATGAAAAAAAATATTGAACATACAGCTCTAGTCATGCAAGCAAAATGTATGACTTTATATTTACTTGTGATTTTCGATTCTATTGCCTGTTGCTACAATACTAGGAGCCAGAGTTAACCTTGTTGAATACTTTGTAATCATTAAGCAACGGAAAAGATGGATATAACTTACAGGGACAGAAATGGCCGGGAGTCCAAGAAGATTTCCTGCTATAATAAATCGCATGAGATTACCTGCAATAAGACCACAAGCATAATTATTGTCCAACAAAATAAAAGCTGCGAAATACAGAGCTGTGGTATTAGCAACAAGGGACACAACTAGCTCATAAGTAGCATAGGAAAATTAGATTCGGTCCGTCTTATGCTGCAAAAGCTTATGATCTGGAATTGTCCAAGCATACAACAATTTATAGTCTATTTTGAGCATTTCTTTTTTCCCCATTCCTAATTCAGATGGATCAATGACTCGACACATTACAATTCACGAGATAAAAACATTTTATGTCATTATGCTTGCCCTGTCAAACAAGAAACAAATATTAGCTATCGTTATAAGCTATATCACATTCCCAGTGACATTTTAAATGTGTAAGACTCTTAAATTCCATAAAACCACTCATGCATGCGGTGCTCTCATCATCCTATGCAAAAAACAACATTTAGGACTCTGGATAATTACAAAATTAGTACATGTAGAAGGACAAAGTTTGGATGGAGTACTAAAAATGAATGTTTTTCGATCGCATGGTACATTCATCAAAGGTGATTGTAGAAGGAAATTCCTAGTATGACATTAAAGTTTCAGAAATGTGACATAATTTTTTCATATGCAAGCTGAAAAGTATAATCAACTCACCTGTAACCTGCAAATTTGTCTCCCCACATGCAAGTGCTTCCCGAGGTATTACAGGCGCTGTCATGCTGGCAAATCAGAGAGTGCATCATCTCACTTATAATTTGCTTAAAAGATTTTCATGCATGACAATAAATAAATATAGTTGCTGAGACAAAAAGCAATTGTTACTTCTACTATAGATGTGTATGCAATATGAATGAGGATTGCTTAGCATCCCCCACACTGAAGTGATTTTAGCAGGTTTCAGTAAAAAAAAAAAAAAATGGACAAAAAATACCCTCACAAAAATAGCAAGTGCCTACAACTTTGTTCGTGTGTTTTTTACATATTTAGTGAAACCTCAAAATAGTGATAAATAAAATGAAGTTCAAAACCCAAAAGAAACTACCAAAACCTGGAACAAGAAGGGACCAAGCATGTATTGTAAAAACACATTAATTACTGCCTATAGCAATAAGTGAGCTTATCATACCCAGTTGTTGGGGTCACTATGACATCAACCTTCTTGAAGATCTCCGTATGGTAATACATTATCCTTCGTCTGTGCAAAACAAGACAAAACTGAAATAGTCTGTCTATGAAATAAACTATGTCACAAGAAATCTTGTATGTTTCCATTAATCAAATTCTAGACAAAATGCCTTATTTTGGCAAGAAACTTTGTACAGAACATGTTACTACCAAGTAGAGCATATTCTGGTGAAACTACCAACAAATATTAACCATATAATTGAGCTGAATATAATACAGGAAACAAGATCCAATAAAAATGAAAAGAAGAAAGAGTGGTTGTTGGGGATGAATCAATTACAAGATTGGGTGAAAGGAGACAACACTTCCAGTTTTCATCTTTTCCAGGCATGAATTATTTAAGTACTCTTATAGTTAGTTGGGTTCCAATACCACAGGCCAATATATCTGTGGTATAGTAAATCATATCATAGCCACGTTAGCCATTATATACCCATTCCGTCCTGTATCAATCATTACAGTGCATTACACATGAATTTCACAGGTTTCCTAGTCCCGACACTTCCATGTCTCATTTTTAACAATTTTATCTATTCAAAAACTATAAGCTAGGTCTATGCTTTGAGGCATGGAAATAACAAGATATGAGCTCAAGTCTTTGCATTGAAGACTTCAGAGATCAAATATTATGTCACCATATTGAATTACAATCTGTTTTTGGTAGTTTATTCAGCTGCATCATCAATGGATATTTGACCACATATGCTTATACCTACCAACTTAAATCTGACCCTAATCATAAAATGTAGGGAATGGCTAATGATGAAAAGTATGAATAATAAAATATTTCCCCCAATTTCCTACCAACATTGGCTTAAAGAAATCGATAAACAACGATTATCAAAAAGTCACGTCTTAAGTGGCTAAAAATTTACCAAAATCTTTGACATTTAGAAAAGTAGGCTTAATCATTTATATGTTTTGCTTTTAAGAGTTAAATAATGAAAAGAGAAAATTCACAGCTTAGATAACCAATTCCCATTACGAATTGACAATGCACCTGACAACCCTAAACTGAGAAGTAGGACCACAACCATTACTTAGACTGGTATTGTTTATATAAACCATGGAACTGTTAATCTACAATGGATAAAATGAGAACATCAATGTATCATTAGATAGTCCACCTCCTTTAATGCACTTTCACCTTTTATTCTAGGGAAAAAAGGCAGAATTTTCGACGTCAACTACACACTTCAATTACATAGACATGAAAATCATGTAGTAAAACAGTAACAGAAACTTTGCATCGAGAAAAAGCTTCAAAGTCTTTTTATGTTATCATCATTATAATTTTGTGCTAAATCGTACAGCACTATTTTGTTGTCAGCTGCACAGATTGCATGCTTTATGCTAAATCTTCCCATTCAAGGTGACATCTTCCATTAGTTTGTTAGCTTTCAGACCCCCATTCTTTCTGAGGACTTGTGAGGAAAAGACATAACCAAACCAAACCAAACCAAACCAAACCAAGCCATGCCTTAAGTCCCATCAAATGGGGTCGGCTACATGAATCCTTCTTCTCCATGCGGCCCTATCAAAGGTCATTTCGTTAGTCAAATTAAGTAGATCCATATCTCTATTTACAACGTTAGCCAACGTTAATCTAGGCCTACCCCGTGCCCTAACACTCCCCTCCACTTGTGAAGAAAAGACATGGAAAAAAAAATGAACATCTAATCTAGAAAGGGTAGTACATTTTAACAGCTAAACCATTATTAACAGCCCAAACAAAAGGAATGCATTGATACAGTAACATCTAAAGTTGTCCACAAAAATGCATATTTTCAGTTAATATTCTGTTACCTAATACGCTGGGCAGCAACATACTCTGAAGCTGTGAATGACTGGAACAGAGCCAGATTAGTGCGAGTGTCATAAGTAAGTTTCACACCATTCCTATACAAAGAAATAAGATAAATCTAATATAATGCAAATTATGATATGATCCTCAGAGATTAACAGAAAGTTGGAAATGCTATTTCCACAGCCTTTTCAGCTGCGTCCAGAGTCTTTCTACAGAAAGGGCTATTTTCCCTTTAGAAGGCTGTAGATGCAGCAAAAAAGTTTGTGAAAAACCAATCTGATATGCAATAATGCAACTGACAAAAAGGCAGAGACATGTACCCGTCCTCACAGACAGGTGCTAACCCGCATAGTGCTTCGGAACCAATTGAAACAAGATGAGCCATGCGCATCTCATGCAGCTCAGGTATTACAATCTCTATTGTCTTGACCAATGAAAACGAAAACAATTAAATTTAGAGTAGAGTAAATATCAATACACATTAAATCTGATAGTGATGTAAAATTTCTTCTATATCATGAAACAACCACCATGAATGGGGAAGATAACAAGAAGCACATAACAGGGGTAATGGACTTACTTTGCACCCATGCTTTTCCAATAGCAGCTTAAGGATGTTGCCACACTTCTGAGAAATATCGGTTGAGAATACATCGTTAAACCACTGCACAAGAAAAGCCACAAACAAATGAAATAATATCCAAGAATAAAGAGATTAAGCATATTTTCAGTACATGTAGAAAACAATCACCTCTGTATACTTCCCTAATCGCAGTGCTCCCAAAGCATTTGAGCTCTCATGTGATGACAAATTGGGCAAACAGGGGAGGGACTACAAAAGATGTGTGAACAGTGACGGACAGTATAATATATAACATGCAGAACAGAGATTCATACTTGGAAAAAAAAATTCCAAACTTCAGCCTTGTAAGTTAAAGAAAAAAACACTCAGTTGTTTAACTCGTTTGGTCTGTGTCGGTGTTCATTTGCCCACAACCAACTGGCTCGGTTCAGTGAGAATTTTGCCTAGTATCCTGGGGCTAGCTTTCCAAGGCCCCTTTTAAAAGGGAGAAAAACAGGAGAAGAAGAGACCAAAACCTCAATAATGTGCAATCCAAAAGAATCAATCATAATCCTTGCTGAATATAATTAAACTGCTTTAGTCTAACAAGTCTTTCTTTGTTATCAGATAGGACACTTGGAAGGTAAGGTTGAGTAGTGTGTCCTTTTCTTCATTCAAAGCACAAGTCAGGAAAAGTTACCATAAGCTCTAATCCAACCTGGAAAAAAAAAACTGTGACTTCTTCTCATATCATCAATTTGATTTGGCTGTAGTTACACTTTGTTTGGTAGCTACCTTATTTTCTACCACAACAGTCCGTTGGACTTGCATGAGTAAGCATATAGCTAGCGGATAAAGAAATTTTTATACTTCTGTTGCACATTTTTCGATTAAGAACTTTTTATTGATACTTACTTGGGGTGGGTTAAAGGACCTTTCATAGGATGGGTTCTCGGTCACCAAAAAGAAAACTTAAATACAGGGCATGTAGTCAGAATATCGTATGTACAAACAAGATGGGGGATTATTAGCACAATGTATGCCCAAGGCATTCCTAGAAATCCTAAATATTGCTCATGAAGCATGTTGTAAAGATGAGAACACTATCTTTTTCATCCATAGAAGGCAGTACTTGGTTGATTTACATGACAATTGAGCTGAGCCTTAAATTTAAGGAAGGATAGCAGGGTTGAAGTAGTTACCGGTCTTAAACTGATTCTATCAGAAGGAGAGGAGCCCAAAACTGTGGCATACCTGAAGAAATAAATAACAATAAATCAAGAGAGTCTAAAGCTTCCTATTTTCTGATGGTTATGCACTTAAAAATTGAGTACTTCTCTTCATTGTCATCAAGACAACAGTCCAAGTAACAAGAGTTCAAAGAACATTGGTCACTTTATAATGTTGTTTTATGTGGATTTGGAAACTTTAATTTAATTAGCATGAGATTAGTAGTCCTGTTTCAATTTCTTTTGGAGAATCTTTTCGTGTTTTTTAAGCCTCTCAAAGCATGAATATCAAGTTACGAGTGTTAAAATAAGACGGTATTACGACCTTAAAATAAATAAACAAATAAAACCTAGATTATTATTCTAGTATCTCATATTATTGATGGAAGTTTTCTGAACCCTTCATCATCACTGGTATTAAACAAACATTTCTAAAATTGTTGACTCCTCAACTGCAAGCTTCTGATAAATTCTATATCTTACTATACAAGTTGAAACAGAAATTCATGCATGTCCCTCATCACAAAAAGCTAATCCAAATACGGATATATAATACTTGATAACACAACATACATTGGGAGTAGAGATAGGACAAACTTGTAAGGCAATCTATTTAACTAACGTCAAGTGATGAACCATACAAGACAGCTAGAAGTTAAAAGAATAAATGAATGGCCATGCATGCATGAAACGCTTACACAAGCATCAGATCCTCCACGTTTGACGCAATTGGTCCTATAATTTCCACAGTGCCTGCATCACACAATGACCTACAAGAGTAGACGTGTAGAAGATTAGAAGTGGAAATAATCCAGCAAGTGTTCAAAAGCATATCTTTCTTCAACATAGAAATGCTTGCGATAAAGAACTGCTGATCATAAAAGACAAGACAGATTCTCTTTCTTTAGTTGTAAGGTATATTGCACAGATCTACATGGCTCCAGCACTGGGTTAGGCAGGTATTGTAATGTAGATTGTATTGTGAAACTCCACTAGATCATCTATTACACAGGAATCAGGATTGTGAATAACCTTGGCCAGAATTTTACTTAAAGCAAAGAGTTAACTGGGTTCTCCATTACAAGTCACAGGAAATATTAGCCTGGCGTCAGATGAGGATTTAGGTTATATGATTGCTGAGAACTCCTAAATTTTAATTAGTACTAGAAAGGGGAGACAGTGAGATCGTCTGACCCTGCGCGAGGAAAACTTAAACTAGAACAAATGGGAAGGAGCAATGTGCCACACATAAAAGACTTTAAAGAATTGGTGGATGCCAAAAATATGAGGATATATACCTTGTAAACAAATTATGAGTGAATCTTTTGTATTAATAATTCATTCAAAGGCAAAAACACGCTGATGATGATATACACAAAACCAAAGCATTCTAAGTAGTAGGCTGGTCAATAAATTTGGTGCTTATCTCACTGACAAGTTCTTGAAAATTATCCAACAAAATCCAGAACTCAAATTTATAAGTACTGTTTTTACAACTGGTGTTGGAAATTTTACCACCAGCATATAAGCAAGCCTAGATTATTTGCACTCTTATTCAAATTGGCATGCTGAAAATAAGTTTACATAACTAATCTTCAGGCAGATGTCACAGATTTCCTCTTTGTGGGCTGTAACACTAATTTATTCGCACCCATACTAAAGCAGTAGATGTCTTCTTTTTTTTAAAAAAAGATAAACAGGATCATAAACGTCCACAGCCTACCCAATACTCCAAATCATATGAAGCATACTCTTATCACGTACAAAAAAGATATTGACATATAAGTGTGAGCATGTGTAAACAAAACTTATAAAAAAAAAAAAGTGTGTGAATAAAGTACTTGAGTACCAGAACAAGGGTATAACTGAGCATCATGGTTGTTCTTATCAGTTAAAATGGCTTCATTATGTATAGAACAGACCAATTAAATGGATAATGGCAATGTATATGTATGACACCTGATGTCATATAATCCCAAGAATTTACCCTGTCATGTCGATCCGTCCATATGTTGTTTTCAAGCCCACCACGCCAATTGATATCAATAAACATCAATCAATAATACATAAATTCTTACAATAAGTCACCAAATTACAATGATTATCTTGAAAACAATGAGAATCATTTGCAGCGGGGCATGTTAGATTTGTTCAACCTCCACCATCTGTTCCTAGTGCAGCTGAACAAAGTCCGGAAGCTATGATTGCTGCTGGGCCTGAGGAAGATCCACCTGTATATCTTTCTTGAGCATGTGGATTTCTTGCTGTTCTGTCATTGTGAAAAAATTTATGAAAGTCATTTGCCTCTGATAGCTATCTATAAGCTGAAGGAATCAGTACTAGATACAGAAAGATATGTAGTTGCCATTGAAAAAAGGTGAATGGGTAAATCATATCCTAAAAGAATAAAACAAAATAAAAATAAAACTTATTGAAAATAAATAAATTATATTAGACGGAGGAGGCTTCTCTCCAATCCAAATAGGATTGGAGGGTGCTATTGGGCCTCCATGGGCCTACAATGGAGACCGCATCGATGATCCGAATCGTTGAATGTGTAGAATTCGTCGAGCAATTTATCTCTGCAAAAAATCACATTGATCGGATATTGCCAGCCATTTGGTCAGATCACAATTGTGTCAATGGTAAGTATGATTTTTAAAATAAATTGTTAATACAAATGTGGTCTAATCAAGTATTTATCAATATCCAATCAATGTGATTTTTTACAGGGATGAAGTACTTGATGAGCTCTACATATTGAACGGTTCAAATTATTGATGTGGGTTCTGTTGTGGGCCTACGGAGGCCCAACAATACCCTCCAATTGGGAAACCCAACTAGAGAGGACCCTCTCCCATATTAAACCATGCTAGATATTTTAAGTTGATGCAAGAAGTTAACAAGAATCTAATGCCAATGAATAAGCTTCTTTATTAGTAAGAATATCAAACTGGGAAAAAAAAAAGAAAAGAAATTGAGAAACTAAGCCCGATTGGGTTCCGATAACATAATATAAGCATATACATAACCATTTCTTTCTAAACAATATATTTATTCTGTTAAATTATTAATGAGTTAAGGCTTACGAGGTTACCATAATCTGCACAAGCAGATGAACATGTAAATAATAACTGGAAGCAAGATATTTGATAATTAAAGTTAACATAACTAAGAATACAGTGGTAACATATGGTAACAAGCCAAGATATTTCCCCAAAATAATAATTTACTATAATTAACCCTAAGGGCATTCCGAAGACTAAATAATCAGAGATTATAGAACTTTTAAGCAGATAAAAGTAAATCAAATATTACAGAAGAAGAAAGATATTTAATAAATTAACTAGCCTTAGTCTAACATGTTACCTGCAGGTAATAACACAAGATTCCAACAAATTTACAGATTCAATGACCCAAGGGCCATCGTTGTCTAGCATCTACTTAATAATCTCTACTACATTGAAATAACCACATATTGGTGAACAAAAATAAACAAGTTTTATGGACTTTATGTCAAGGCAATGTAACATTGAAGCTACTATTTCAGGTCAGATGCACCAATATATGCACAATCAGGTGTTGATTCAGCCATAATCCACTGTTGGCGCACTTGCGACTACCAGAATTATTTCTCCATTCATCAAGTTCTCAACTTCTCAGGTCATTTAGTCATGCATGTTGAACAATAATATCCTATTTATGTCTTTGTTTATGTAGCTGTAACATGAAAACTTACCCATAGTTTGGATTGTTTCCAGTTGTTCCCATGCCCAATTCATGCATATTTGCCTTTCCAACAAAAATCACACCACATTTACGTAATCTTGATCTATGTTACATGGATTCGGGTACGGGTGTCGGGTGCGGGTATGTATCTAGAGGTCGGACTCATCAAATCATAAATTTAAAGATACGCGGACTCGGCAAAAAAATGTCATATTTTTATATTTTTAATCTAATATGTGAGATAAAATGGTATTATATTTAACTTATAGTGTCAAAATGACATTTATAGCAATTATATAACAATATATACATATAATAATAGTGTTATATACAATTATATATGAAGTATCCGTTGAAAAGTATCCGACACATATCCCATACCCTTGTCCGAGTGTCGGGTGTCCGACACGGGTATTTGATTTAATTTGAAGAGTCCATGTAACATAGATCTTGATACACAAACTGCATCCTTTCTAACAGGGCGGACCTCATGAAACCATGTTGTTGCACCTTTTCATCATAGAATACAGATAAATTTCTAAGTAGAATAAGAAACTTGAGGAAATGAAAAGTCAAATCTATTTTACCTTTTGATCGATGGGGATAACAATCTATATCATCCTTGATTGCCATGAAAATCCCATCCAAGATTGACAATGGATTTCCTGGACAACCCACCACCATAGGGGATTAAGAGAGAACTGAATTTTAGCTCAGCAAAACTTAGACACTCATACACAAAGTGGCAAATCAGATATGAAATACCCATATTAATAGGTAACTGAATTGCTAGTACTGATAACATGAATAGGAATTCACATTTAAAATCACCGATACCTTCCTCAAACCTTTGTGTAGAAGCTGCGGCTTGCTTTCTTACTTCCTCGGCATCAAAAGAAACCAATAGTGGTGCTGGGGGATTCTTATTGCTGAACTCTTCCATGGCTGAGATGAAGCGCTCTGCAACCTATATGCTCGCAGTAGGATTCCTCTTCCAAATATTAAAAAGAAATAAATAACCTAACTAACAATTACTGAGATACCATAGATGGGTTTGCCAGCCTAGACCGATAAGCGTGTGCATAATCACGTATCTTCCAGTAGCGGAAGGATGGAGTTGAATTGCCAGTCCAACAGGTTGCAGCATCATAGTGTGGGAGACACTTCAACGCTAATTCAACTTGGTCTTCAGGTTTTCCATCTTCTTCCAAACCAACAATAGCAGGCTCTGGTTCTGAATTCACATCATACAAAATGGGTAAATTTTGTGAAAAATGAACCTTATCTTACTATGCTCATGCATAAACAATATATTTGAAGTCTCATTCCATTCTGCACTGAAATTATCAATTTCTCTCCATATATTATGATTCATTTTCCCTCAATTGCTTTCAATATCTTCACAGCCAAAGCAACAAAGTGCCAATGTTTTAAATTGATAACGGCAATAATTATCCTTGGTCCAAGCCAAAAGGCCAAGAAAGGTATAGTGCCAATGTCTTTTAATCGCGAACTATGATTCCCCAATTTTCTGACGTTGACAAATACGCTGATTCCTCTTTGGAAGAAAAATAAAAAGTACAATAGTATGCAGTCTTCATTAAAAAAGAAATAGAAAAATTTAATTGCGTGATAACAGATGGCCTAAGCAACCCTGTCTTATCATCTAATTGCACACCAGTGAATGGGGACCATTCAAGTGTGACAGACCAATTGAACAGATTAAGTGAGACAAAGCATGGTGATTCCATATCACCTCACCACTTCCACATTGTTATAGAGATATTGTCAAGTTGGTTACAAAGAAACATTGAGCAAGTAAGCTTCAGTTACCATCCTAAATGCCAATAATTAAGCTATCAAAAAAGCACTTTGGAAAAGTAATATTAAATAGCAGGATTGCAGCCAAATCTGCTCAAGTGTTTCAGGGGTTCCAAACTTATAGCAACTAGATAGTGTATCCAGCAGATCATAGACCATCTACGACACTATTGCCAAAAAAATATAGAGCTACTCATACCAACAATGTCAAAAACATTTAACATGAGCCATTTTTTGAGAGAACAAACCTTGGGGAGGAAATTCAGGTATAAACATTGGTGTCTCTGGTATCACAGTACTCTGCAAAATCTATCAATTGCAAATATTTTCTGCATTTAGTCTCTTGCTTTTACCCTCACACCCCAATTGAACAACTCACAAAATAAATAACTCATACAGATATCTAGAGCCTAAACATAGATATATCCATGTGTGAGTGTGTGTATACCAAATTGAATGAGAATTTACAGATGAACACACCTCAGACATTTTATTCTGCTTCTTGAAGTAAGATATGATTAAAGAGCCAATCAATGGGACTTCAACTAACTTAACAAATAACTTCAGCGACACTCCGGCCATATGAGGAGCTGCAAGGCAGCAAAACAGTTCAAAAAAGGAAAGCTCTATATTCATACATAAAATTCTTACAAAAAAATTCCACAAAAATAACGCACCAATGTCATTTTTTTAAATAAACTCATCCTGTTTTGATTTAAAAAAAGATTCACATTGAACCACGTCATTCTGTATGAAAATTCATAAAATAAACTCATCATGTTTTGATTTGAAACAAAAGATTCACATTGAACCACATCATTGTATATGAAAATTCTGTACAAATTTTGTACTTGTATATCATTACTCTTTGAAAAAAAATAAAAAAATCAATCAATCAATCCCATCATTCTTATCTTTCCATAATCAACCACATAAACCACACACACAACAAATACACAAAAATGATGTAGCAATAACATTTTTTAAAACAAACTCATCATCATCGTCATTAGTATTTTGATTTAAAATGAAACTTTCAATTTGATCCACATCATTTTGTACATGAATTTTCTATTTGTATATTTCAAAAATAAAAATAAAAATACAACAATCAATTCGATCATTCTCATTCTCATCTTTCCTTAACAAACTACACAATCCACACAACACAACAATTCAAAATTATTCAAAGAGTTGAAAATGCAATGGAAGAACAAACACCTTGGATCACTTCAGGCTCGTACTTCACCGCCGTCAAATCAACTTCGTTCGCGGGCACCATAACGCGCTTCTTTCCCATCCTTCAAAGAAATTTTTTTTAAAAAAAACGTAGAATTCTAGAAATGACGTATAAAATCCAAAAGAAACAATCGATCAAACACTAAATTTGCACATGTACATACACATATTAAGATGCATAAGGAGAGAGAATTTAGTTTTTAAACAGTGCGATGATAAGAATGGACTTTTCACGAACCTCTGGCAATGAAGTCTCCGTTCGAGTGCTAGAGAGAGAGGGAGAGAGAGTGAGACAGTTGAAAATTGGCGAGGGAAGCGAGGTTGTTATCTTCTTCTTCTTGTTGCTGACGGTGATTTTCACTCGTCTTCTTCGCTCGGCTTTGGAAATTGGAATGCGTGCGGAATCTCAGATACGGCCTTTGTTTATATATTATTACAAATATATCCTTCACCTCAAGTAATCTATTTTAGCCTATTTTAAAAATCAACAATGTTAGAGGGTCACAATTTTTATGATTATAATGGCTCAAAATTATTAAAATGATATCGTTTTGGCATATTTTGCACCCAAAACGACGTCGTTTTGACAGTTTTGAGCCATTGTGGCCACAAAAATTGTGATTCTCAAACATTTTCCTTTAAAAGGATGGTGTAAAGTAATTTTTTTTGACTTTTAATTAAGTTTTTAACGTTTTTAGATAAATAATTTAAGAAGTTGGTAAAAAGTGATTTTTGATTTTGTTAATTAATATTTGTTTATAATGTCAAATTATAATAAAATAACCAAACTACCCCCACATAGTTTAAAATATTTATAATTTCACTCATGTAATACATTTTGACTCATGAGGTGTAGAATTGTAATTTTACCATTGGCTAAAAACTAACTTTTCAAATGAATTTTTTTTTAAAAAAAGCCTACTTTTAACTTTTGCTACAAACTAAAAAAAATGGCTAAAAGCCAACTTCCCAAGACAAGCCTTATGCGACTAATTTAACTCAAATAAATCTGCCAAACAGTGTCTTAAAATTACATCAATCCCTTTTAAGTTCTAATACCATATAAATCATCTTATACATATGTACGAGGACAAAATAATTCTTCTCGTATGATCCTGTTGATCAAATTTGCGCTTCTCTAAACATCGTCGCTTTATTTCTTGAAAACACAAATGTGAGCTAGCCGGCGGGTGTGTGCCGGAAACCCCTCCGATGTCTAAGTCAGTAACTAGACAATAGACAATAAGCTCTGTGTATTTTAGAGTAAGAATTGTGATACCTATACATAGGTCCTCTCACGAGCTTTTATAGATTCTATATGGCACAATCCTAGTACGACCCTTACTCCTCAATGTAGAGTCCTCTTAGGAATCACATCTCTAAGAGATAATGCTTATCCCTTAACACCCTTCTCACTGCTTTAACCAAGTGAAATGGTTTTACCTTGGTAGTATGACAAAACAACCGAGCTAACATCGCCATTCTTAAGCGGTAGATTTAACCGAGCTTCATCTAGCTCGGTTCCACCTTTCTCTTTCAATTCAGCTTCCTGTACCTCAGTTCAACATACTCCAACCGGGCTATCTTAGTAATTTATGACCGAGCTAACTAGGCCCAATGGCGAAGCCCATTTCGCTCAGTCCACAGCTCGGCCCAGATTTACACATTTTACCCTCTCAATTGTCCCTTAATGCCATCTGCAATGCATGATTGGGATTACTTTTCTTTAGCCGAGCTAGAAACATTCAAGCCAACCGAGCTCACCTTCCATCGGGCTACCGATAAGTTCAGTCCATAAACGTCTTTTCAATTGTTCTGCACGTCTGAATCGTTTTCTATTCTTTTGGACACGTGGCAAGCTCCCATTGGCCAAGCATAGCTGTCATAGCCGTCTTCATACCTCGCAAATTTTGAACAGTTCCGCCCAAATCTATGCTTTATACAAAAACCCTACTTTTCGAACCAAATACACCACTGTTCATCTTCTTGTACTTGTCCTCTAAGCCTCAATTTTCACGACCGTAACTCCTATAAAGCTTGCATTTTCACTGCCATTCTTACGGTCTTGATCTTCATCCCTTCATCTCAAAGCTGTAAGTTGCTCTAATCTTTTTCCTTTTCGTTTATTTTGTATAGTATAGCAATACATAGCATAGTATATGTATGGTTTTCAAAACACATACTAGTATAGTTTTCATATCAATGGAAAAGAACCACTTGGTCCCAAAAACCATGTAACAGATCCTTCACTGGATTCACAAACAATCTGTAAAATGATGTTTTTGATCCAAAATAATACTACGACTGTGATAGGAACTTGTTTGCCATATGTGCGCATTAGACCGAACTAGAAACCTCACCCATGGACCTAGCTAAGACTTAGAGCCATCCCTTGTGTCACAACCGAACTAAAAACCATCCTATCAATGACCGAGCCACAAACTTGGTGCCTTTTCTTGAGTCATAACCGAACTAAGAACGGGCTGCACCCCATTGAACCGCACTAGGTTTTACTTTTATTTATCATTCTTTTTTAGCCTGGCTCAATGATCTAGGCATAACACTTTTATCTCCACGTTACAGACTTTGACTAGGTTAGCCAGGCACACCTTTGCACGCTCAACCGAGATATTCAACATCATCTTACCACCGAGATAGCCTACCGTGCTAACTTATAAACAAATTTAGTTAAATGGGTAAATATCGGTTCTTAGTAAACTCCCCTGGGGCCATCGCTAAATTCCGCAAGGACTACAACATTTCTGACGATGTCCATCTTTCACTAGCCGAACTAGATACCACACCTTGGGAAAAACCGGGCTTTGTCCGCTTTACCATAATATCCATCGTTGAAGCTGGTCTTTGATTTCCCGTTCAGCCACTCCTTTGTGAATTCCTTAGGCAGACAAGACTCTGCCCCACTCAGCTTTCCACAAACTCATATAGAATAATAAATGGCATCACTGAGCAAAACTGCAGGCTTGGCCTCAACCTCGGTTTAGCCGAGCTATTCCATCAATACCCACTTGGCCAAAATGAAGACGGCTGGGTGTATTATTTAAGAATAAGAAGACGCCGAGAGAAAATAATTAAAAATACATCGGACAAAGACATGAATGACGACGACTTTTTCTGAGTTTCTGGCAATTTTGAAGATCGGGAAGCCCAGATACCGGGTTACAGTATTAACTGAAATAAAAGGACAGTCGGTATGAATAACTAGGCTTAGTTTGTCCGTTTCTTGCTCTTGTTGTTTATAACTTTTACACCTCGCTAACTGTTGTCTTTCTCCTTATGCAGACTTGAACCAACTAAAGTCACAATACCAGTACCCCAACCTAGATGCTTTCCGCGCCGCACTTCGATATCGTCACCGAGGTTGGGCCGAGCTTTTGAACTTTGAACCAACATATAGATACAGTGGTAGGAGGAAGACCAGGGTAACTGACTTCCTCCTCGCAACCATCTCCAGAGCTGGACTCAAACTTGCCATAAATCAACCTCATTTCCTTAACCGAAGAGCAAGAAATGGCCAAGCGCCGAGTTGTTTGTGCCTTAATCACCGAACAAACATCCGCTCCCATTGTTGATGTTCAGACCGAGGTCCCACAAGCCGGTCAGATACATAAAGCAGTGGTAGCCCTCCTCTCAGCCCGAGCTACTTCATCCCGGCCTAGCAAACAGCTGCGCATACAAAGCCTGAGGGATGAGGACGAGCCATCCCAAATCGAGCTCGAAGATGCGACAATCTCCCAAGGCCGCAACCGTCCTAACTCCTCAAGATCTCCCTCTCCGCCAGTCTGGGGGCCAAAAGCCACATCCAGGGGCCGAGTTATTACGGTTTTGGACTCCGTTAGCGCCGAAAGGGACCATCTGTTGGCATTCAACCTAGCAAAGAGCGTCTGCCTTCCTGCCGACATGGAGCGGCATGAGGGTCTGACTGAGTTGAAGGCTATTCGCTCGGCCTCCAAATCAATGATTTTGGTAAGCCTAAAAATCCCTTCAAACTTTTGAACATTTGTTACGGTCCGAGTGTATTAGTTGTCTCCTAACCGCTCTAAACAATGCAGGCTCTGCAGAAGAGCCAAGTAGCTCACAAATGAGTTCTTGAGCTCAGAAAGATGGCACGGTTAGCCGTTGCCGAGGCAGAATCCAAAGCAACCAAGTTGAAGGATGTACAAGCCAAGCTGGCCGAACTGGAGGCCGAAAATTCAAGACTTACCGGACTGGTCAGCACGGCGGAGGCTGACAAGAAGAAGGCATTAGTCGAGAAGAAAGATCGCTACTTACGTGAGTTGGCCAAGCTGGAGAGGAAGAAAAACGCCGAGCTAGAAGACATGAAGAAAAATATGCAGGACGCTGAAGACCGAGGTTTTAAGGAAGGGGAGAAGACGTACGTCCAGCAGTGCGAAGCTGCAAAGGATATTTTCTTTAAGTGCAGTTGGAAAGCCGTTGCTGAAAAGCTCGGTTATAGACACGACTTCGACATCTTCTTGAGCCCCCCTCTCTACTTCATACCGGGCTACATGGCGGACTATGCTAATGCGGTCTAACAAAAGTTTCTTTAGGAGGGGGAGAAGGAAGAGGTCCCAGCTCCTGAGAATATTTCCAACACCCAGCTCGGCCGCCAGTCTACCTCCTCTACTCTAGTGGACTCTAGCCCCCCCTGAATGTTATAAGTAACGAGGTGCCTTCAACCTAGCCCAACCAAGCGGCTAACCTCATAGCCGAGCTACTAGTGGGTGATATTCAGGTTGATTTGGTCGCCGAGTTAGACGGTCTGTTCACTTGATTTTGCTTTCTACTATGATGAAATTGTAACCGGGCTGAAGCCCCAACTTTTGTAATGCACTCTTGAATGTAATCTTCAATTTTTCCTTCTTTCTGTTCGGTTTACTCCATACTTGTATTTATTTTTCAACTCTAATTTGCATGAGAGCTTAACTTTTTGCTTGGTTTGCTTCAATATTTTTAGACCGAGATAATTACCTTGGTCCAATGAGTCCAGAAATCTCTCTTTAGCCTAGATCTTGATCTCGGTTGAAGAGAGCTAAATGTTGGTCATTCCTGCCAACCTTCTTCAGCCTAGATCCTGATCTCGGCTGAAGAGAGCTAAGTGTCAGTTATTCCTGCCAACCTTCTTCAGCCTAGATCCTGATCTCGACTGAAGAGAGCTAAGTGTTGGTTATTCCTGCCAACCTTCTTCAGCCTAGATCCTGATCTCGACTGAAGAGAGCTCGATGTTTTTTTATTCCTGCCAAACTTTATGATTGCCCCTTGCTGGTAATGACTGAAAACAACTTTTACAGTAGAAAGACTTATGCTGAAAAACTACTTGTTTTATTTGAAAAAAGGGAAAAAATTACAAATACTCTAAGGAAAAGCTAAAAATAAAATAACTTGAGATT